TTGACCAGGATGGTCTCGATCTCTTGACCTCGTGATCCACCCGCCTCGGCCTCCCAAAGTGCTGGGATTACAGGCTTGAGCCACCGCGCCCGGCTTATTTATATTATTATTATATTTTTGAGACCGAGTCTTGCTCTGTTACCAAGGCTGGAGTGCAGTGGTGCCATCTCAGCTCACTGCAGCCTCCATCTCCTGGGTTCAAGCAATTCTCCTGCCTCGATCTCCTGAGTAGCTGGGATTACAGGCATGCACCACCACACCTAGCTAATTTTTGTATTTTTAGTAGACACGGGGTTTTACCATGTTGGCCAGGCTGGTCTCAATCTCCTAACCTCAACCTCCTAATCTCAGCCTCCCAAAGTGCTGGGATTACAGGTGTGAGCCACCGTGTCCAGCCCTGCTCACAATGTATAATGGACTCCCTGAAATCTATCTGTTGTTCCCTTCCTCTACTTATAGAGAGTGTCCTCCCCGGGATGGCCATACGCCTTGCTTATTGCTTCCTTCTGATCTCTTTTCAGATATCACTTTGCCAGTGAGGTCTCTCCTCACTCTAGTTAATACTTAGTCATCCCTTTGCTTTGCCCTCCATCCATGCTCTGCTTTGATAGATTTTACATTCATTAAATGTGTTCTCATCCCTAAGCTAGAGTATCAGTTCTTTGAGCGCTGAGATTTTTGTCTTTGTTCTCTGCTATATTCCTAGAGCCTAGTAGGTATTTGATAAATAGTTTTTGTTTTATACACACACACACACACACACTTTTTTTGAGATGGAATCTCCCTCTGTCGCCAAGCTGAAGTCCAATGCTGTGATCTCAGTTCACTGCAACCTCTGTCTCCCAGGTTCAAGCGATTCTCCTGTCTCAGCCTCCTGAGTAGCTGGAGTTACAGGCATCTGCCACCACGCCTGACTATTTTTTGTATTTTAAGTAGAGACAGAGTTTCACCATGTTGGCCAGGCTGGTCTTGAACTCCTGACTTAAGATGATCCGCCTGCCTTGGTCTCCCAAAGTGCTGGGATTACAGGCGTGAGCCACTGCATCCAGCCTAATTTTTTGTTATTATTGTTATTTTTTTGAGACAGGGTCTCACTCCTGTCGCCCAGGCTGGAGTACAGTAGTATGATCACAGCTTGCTGCAGCCTTGCCCTCCTGAGCCTAAGCGATCCTCCCACCTCAGCCTACCAGATAGCTGGGATTACAGGCATGCGCCACCGCACCTGGCTAATGTTTTGTATTTTTAGTACAGATGGGGTTTTGTTGGGTTTCTCAGGCTGGTTTTGAACTGGGTTCAAGTAATCCTTCTGCCTCAGCCTCTCAAAGGGCTGGGATTACAGGTGTGAGCCACCATGCCCAGCCAAATACATAATTTTTGAAGGATGAATGAATGATAATAGGGCCCAGCCCTTGGCTTGAATCAAAAAGGTCCAACTCCAGCTTCTCTCCTGGGCTACAGACCCTCATATTCAATTACCTGCCTCTCACCACCACCATGTGACTGAGGCCACTCTCCACTGTTCAGCCCTCCTCCTCGTGCCACCCTCTGTTACAGCTAAGTTAACTTCGTTTCACTTCCTTGCTCCCACCCCATCCTGTTCTACGTCCTTGACTCTCTGCACCTTAAAGAAAGTGAGAGCACAGTGGCTCTCACCTATAATCCCAGGTACTCCAGTGGCTGAGGCAAGAGGATCACTTGAGGCCAGGAGATCCAGACCAACCTGGGCCATGTAGCAAGACTCCATCTCTAAAAAGATTTTTTTTTTTTTT